TCCTTTCTTTTGATCTTGATTTTGTATCCACCCATACAGAAGAAGATGACCAATGGTGGATCCAGGTTTTTATGTGACTTTTCAATTTTGTTAGGTAACTTCCGATATCTTCCAGCAGTTATGCTTAGTTAAAGGAATTTTACTAATATTTATCTTGATTGTGATATCATTATTCAACATCTGGAGAAATGCATTCTCAATCCTAGAGAAGGGTAGTATTTTACATTCTTCTGCTTTTGGTCTTACAGCCTGATCGGAATAAGGAAATAATCTTTTTCATATACTTTGTTTGACTGGGATAATAAGAAGTTGAAGGTCTTAGCTTGAACAAATAATTACCTTTTCATCACCTAGGAAATTTAGTGTCTATTTTAATGACCTTATAATTTCTTTGCTTTAGTTAAATTTCATTTGAAGGAGTGGAGGAGTTCATATTCTTGATTTCTCTTTTAATCATCAATGATATCATTGGAACACGTGAGGTGACCAATAGGAGTTTGTTTATATTCAGCTACTAATGTGTTTCATATCAACCAATCAGATGCCAGGTGACATTATGCTACTAAAAATTTAGGGTTAAATTGAGGTAGGTAAAATCCCTCAAGAAAACTGTGAAAAACAGTAAGTACTTTAAAAGGATATAAGACAGTATGTGAGAAGGTGGAAAATAAGCCTTTCCCTGCCAATAGAACCTCTATATCTTATTGCTCCCAGCTCTATAAGGTAACATTTTACTTGTCAGTCCTTTTATTTCTTAAAACTTTCTTGCCTTTAGTAGAGGAAGTGTGTACTTGAGTCTTTTTAGGCCACTAGAGGCTTAAGTTTTTATTTAAAGGAGTTTATAAACAAGTAAAGGAGGGTAGGAGAGATATATGAAGACAAAGTTTCAAGTTGTTTTAATAAAAGTGTAAAGACTTTATTAGCAAAGAAGTATAAAACTTTTTGTGAACATTTTTTTTGTATGTGGTCAGAGGATTGGTGGAAAGAGTTCCTTTCTTATTATAATATTATAAATATATATTATTTATTAAAATTTTTATATGGTTTTAATTAATTTGATAGATTAACTTACTTTTAAAAGAATATTAATAAGTTTCAATATAGAGAAATTTATGTTAAACTTTATTAGATAAGTGCAAATAATTATATTGTTATATATTTAATTTTTATTAAATTTAAATTAAATAAAATTGAACAAGTGCTTAAAATAATTAAAAAAAAAAATGAAAATTAATATTATATATAAAGAATAAATAATGAAAAAAATCTTGTGACTGATAAATATTATATAATAAAATATTTAAAAAACAAAAACACACATTTTTTATAAAAATTTCTTGGATAATCGAACAAATTATAATAACAATAAAAAATTGTTTTATTAGATTTAAATTAATTGATTAAATCAATTACTTTAAAAAAATATAGTAAATAAAAATGATTATTAATAATTAATACGAACATTGAATTATATATGAAATTAAAATAACTTATTAATGAAAAGATTGACACAAAGGTTACTTGCTATTGAAATTTTATGCAAAATTCAAGTTTTCTTGTTCATATCTACTTTAAAATTCTATATTTCAAGAAGAAAATCTATAATTAGTAAAAAAAAGTTATATACAGTTTGTCTAAAAAGTCTTTGGACAAATTATGACGCAAATCAAATAGGCGTAACTTTCCGCTTTAAGTTAGGTTTGCTGCAGTATGACTTTTAAATACAGTATATGCTAAGTGGCCTGATACTTTTTTTTACTTTATAACAGAATGGATTTATTACCGCAATTTTATTATACATTCAAATGAAGACATGGTTATTACTCAAGATACACACGTAAAAGTCATCTTACATTGGTGGAATAATGGCATACAAAGTGCCAGGGAAATAAAACAGAAAACGGGTCTTCCGAAGTCCACAATATATTATTAACCTTGCAAAAATAAAAAGGACTGGAGGTGTGACCCACTTAAAACGAAATGATCGGCCGCTAAAAATAAATTCCAAGTTTTTGCTCATCTTGGGGCAACAAATAAGAAGAAATCCATCAATATCTTCCTGATCGTTGACTACAAAACTAGCTGAAAAAGGTGTTAAAGTGGTGCATGGAATGGTTTGTGATCATTTAAAACGTCTTGGATATAAAAAAACCAAGGCACAAACAACTCCTATGCTTACCATGAAACATAAAGAAGAGATCATCTAAGAGACAATTGGCAGAATACCATTTTTTTCGGATGAAACGTGCTTCCAATTATTAAGAAACACTATCCAGTATTGGCAAAGAAGCCATCGGCCCATCCGACGAGTTCCCAAAAATTGGCAAAAAATTTGTTCTTGGGGGAGCATTTTGGGAAGGAGGTAAAACGAAACTTTACTGCTTTCAGGGGATAATGGATGGTCCATTTTATGTCGAGATCTTAAGTAAACATGTTCCCGAGATTAAGAAAATGCTTGGTGACCATTGGAGATTCCAACATGATAATGATCCCAAGCACCAAAGCAAAGTAGCCAAGAAATTTATCAAGAAGAACATTCCCGCGAAAATCGATTGGCCCTCCAACAGCCCCGACCTGAATCCTACCGAAAATATATGGAAAATTGTTAAAGATAATGTAGAAAAGCGACAACCAAAAAATTTAGATGAATTAAAGCAATTCATGATGGAAGAATGTTGTAAGCTTGTTATTGGATATAAGGGAGAACGTATTCCTTATTAATTTTTTTTAATAAATCAGTTAATTTTATTTACACGTGATTTGGCGCAGCCATTGTCATATAGTTAATATATGAAATTGTCCAAAGACTTTTTAGACGAACTGTAAATATAAAGTGATTAAAATGACTAAAATTGAATTAAATAATATTGTCGACAGTTATTAGGGATGGATGAATTCACTGTAAGTATTGATTCAAGTGAAAAAATTTTAATCTGATGTCATAGAAATGAACTTTATAATTCAAATTGTATCCAAGCAACTGTTAAAAGAAAGTTATAATTTGAGGATGTGTAAATAGATAAGGTTTATATTATTTGATTCATGCATTACTTCGTATGAATGAAAAGGAATATGACAACCGCCATTTATCTAGTAACCTTGATTTCTAGAGTACCACAAGGAGCGAACTTGTAGAAGAACTTAAGTCCGTTGTGTCTATGGAGGGACAGCCACAATCACCAGACTTCAGTCCAATTGAAAAATGTCTGGAAGGACATTAAAAAATTGGATAAGACTGAAGTCCGCGAAATAAATCTGACACTCAGTATAGCACGACAAAGCATGTGACAATAATGCATGATGACCTCGGAATGTGCCGTGAAAGTTATGAAGTGAATGTTCACCCGAGATTCAATTCATCCGCAAAATCTTTGTTCTTTGACCTCTGGAAAAGGAATCCTCGTAACAGACATGTTTTGAAAAAGTTTGCCTCATTCTTGTGCAGCACACACGGTACGTAGAACGTTTGATTGATACGCATGTAATTGTTATGTACAAACGAGTGACACAGAAAAATATTAAAAATTGTTTTTTACTATTCATTGAATGTCTCTTTCGTACTCGCACGATTATCATTGTACATAAAGCCGCGAACCTCAAAATTGGATATCCATTACGCGGTTTCCGGTTACAATGTTTGGTCATTAGTTAACAATGTTTACATTTTCATTAATAGAGATGAGATGGCCACACATTTGAGTCATCATCTGTACATAAATTCCTTGTTCACTGGCCCATTTTAATCGTTCCACAGTGACACAAAATTAGGTCGATTTTTATGACGATCTGGCATTGTATAACCTAATGCCATATTTTCCCATGCCGCAGTAGCGCCCTTCTCCAAGGCATTGGTTATTAAAATGCATTTAAAAAAATGCGCAAATATTGCGTTTTTCTTGTGTTCAATCAACATCTAGTAAACTTGACGGTAATTAAAAATCATCCGCGAGAATTATTTCTTTTTTCCGCGCACCATATTTTCTCATCCAATCAAAATCGTTCTGTATGAATACACTTTCGTTAAGCATTCCCTTTTTTTGTTTGTTTTCAAAACATCCTCTACCAGAAGGAGTTCATCGGAAACGGCCGTGAAGCTTACTTCTATTGCTTCGCTTATCGGACTGCTTTAATGATAAACCGTGTTTTCGTTAAATACAGTAAATAAGCTTGCACTTGATATGCAAATATCGTACATCATTTTCTGCATACGTGACCATAAGTTTCCTCTATGAAATTTCCTCGACGAGAAAAATTATACAAATCCGGTTTTTGTCAAAAAAAGGTCATTCTATTATTCTATCATTACACACGGAGTTCCTACTTTCTTGTTTTCATTATCATCTTCGTCGAAACTTCAGTTCAACGATGAATGCACTGCAACTATGTATGCGCATTGAAATATCTGTACGTATCATTCATTTAAGTTCATCATCATCAATATTTTATTTATATTAAAATTAGAATTTCGCCATAAAAAGTAATTACCCCACTTGCACATAGTTATGTAACGTAACGTATCAATGTTTGTGCATATGTACAGTACATACGTGTACCATCCTCTACCATCATACGAAAAAACTTAAAAAGGTGACTGTAATGCTATACGGACCTCGGGTTTTAGTAACTTTTTGTCCCGATTCGATCTCGAAACAAAGCTCCTCCTTTCGTTTGCATTGATTTTTTGTCACGACACGATCTTCGATTCATATAGAATCATCCCTCGAGTAAAGTTGAAAAAACCTAGGATCCCCAGTGTAAATATATGTGCACATGATTTTCTCATATTTTTACTCACCACTAACGATTAAATCTTTACACACCCCTGAAAAAAAAGATTGTCGGAAAAATCACGCCGGTTGGTTTTGCCGATCATACCTGAGCGCAAATAAATTACCGCTGATCAATTCTGCACTTGTTCTCAACAATTCCTTCCTTTTGCCCCGTACACTACAATCCATACACATTTGCAATATTAAAATAAAAATTTTTTCTGGTTTATTATGTCCATGTTCAAAGCTTCGCTCTTGCCAGTACACCATCTAGCATCTCCTGCTTTTCATCAAAGGCGCAACTCCTTTGCACAAGTTAGCGACCATTTGATAAAAACAAGAAAGTTTAGAATACTAGGCGTGACACTTGGACTATTCTTATGTTCTCTATGGATAGTGGCAAATTTCAGTGGCACGGAATTTAACATCAACACCTTACGACGTTTTAAGCACAATGATGCGGCCATCGCTGCAGCAAGCGTTATGGGAGAAGGCGGCGAAGAAGGCATACATGGACTAGAGATTCAAATTCATGGACGCATCTGGTCCACTAGACGTAGATACGACATTCACAAGATAGATCTCGATTATGACGATGATTCTGTCAAGGACGGTTTCTATGATTCTTTCTCATTGACAAAAATTGATGAAACAACGGCGAACCATTACGAAGATTTGATTATTGAACCTCAAACCGATATTGAAATTGAAATTGACAATTTGGTTCGCGAGAATCCCGTGGTTATTTTTAGCAAAACCAACTGCCCGTAAGTATTATTCTGACATTAGTGATTTAAAATTATAACGGTTCCGTGATAATTGGGATTCCATGTTTCGTATAGATATTCGCAAAGAGCAAAACGCATATTATCACAATACGACATTTCACCTCATCCTATTGTAATTGAAGTCGACAAAAGAGGTATCTTCTTAATTTCCTTTTTTCTTCGTGCCATTCATCCAGATAATTTTTTAAGCATCACTTTCATTTAATAAAATAAAAGATGACGAAGAAGAAATAAGACGGGCGTTAGTAAGGTTTATCTACCTGGATACACTTCCAATCATATTTGTGGATAGCAGATCCATTGGTGGTAGTGAGGAGCTAGCGTTGATGCATGGGAGTGGCAGATTAGAGGAATTGCTCATTGAAGCTGGTGTACTCAATCATGAGCAAGTGCCGACTTTTCATACCACCTTATGATTCCGCTTTCAACGTTTTTTATTGAATCCCATTCACACGATATATATTATAAAGAGGCCGCCTAACCACCACTGAAAACGAGCAAGATTCTTATGACTACGCACAAATTGAAGAGAAAAAAAATATATGAGGTTTCCCTTCCTTATCCTTGCTAAGATATTCCTTTACAAAAATATGTCGCTTTGAAAAAAAATTTTTTTTTTTAAACCCCTTATCCGCGATCTCATCATTCCTTCTTCTTAAATCAACATCCTTTGCTCGCTTTCCCCTGTAAAATAAAAACGCCTCCATTGCAAATTTATTTTCTATATATTTTTTTTTTAAAAAAATAAATAACTTAAGCAAAACATATGTATTAAAAGAAAATAAAATAAAAAATATTTTTTTTGAACGATTACACAAAATGGAAATAAAATTCCTTGCCAAAAGTTGTTATACTGATCGTGACTTTGCGCAAATAGTTTTGAGTCCGAACCCAGTCCTGCGCTGAAACTGGTGCGAGTACCAGTGATAACGCCATCACAGATCATAGCAATAGCGATAAGCATTGAGATAACAAAATTAGATACATACAGTATATACGTATAAGACTTTTCCATTTCGTAATTCGTTATTTTATCGGGATGGCTCATCATACAAAAAGGACTTCTCAATAAAACGATGAAGCCTTTAAAAAATTTATGCGTACGTTACAATCTTTTGGTTAGATGGCTGCATAGTATGAAATTGATTCCCTAGAAAAATGACGGCATATGTTATTCCTTTTTTCATATTGTTTGACTTATTTGACCATTTGCCAAGACCTCGTTTTTAATCCCTCGATTGTTAAAATGAAGTAAATATGTCTATCTCAATAAAACAAAGAAGCTCTTTTGAAACGCCAAGAAAAAGAAAACATTGTTTGATCTGCAAAACGTGCCAAACTTTATACGATTATGTACAAGTATGTACAACGACAGTCTGAAGATTGTGAAAATAGTCCGGTGTGACGGTTAACCGACTTCTGCACCTAACCATAAATGACAATAAACAAAGAATTGCTAGCGACGTTGCGGTAAAATTATACTGTACGTATATACAGTATTGTATGGTACTGTACGGTGTATACATTATCAACCGGTTCGAATATATATATTAATATCTATAAATAGTTAGTATACTGTATATTGATGTTTGAGAGATACTGTATAATCTTTATAATGCTTGCATTGCGAAACGATGTCATATAGGCAATCTTTAATATCTCATTGGCACGATCTTTATAATATGTAAGTGTTTGCTCAATAATAAATATTTCGCAGAATACAATCTTCATAATATAATTTTATAATGAGTTTATACAGTATTATATGTTAAAAAAAAAAAATCATTTTTTTTTTCTATCTTTTTAATTAATTTATTCATTTAATTCACACAAAAGAATTTTTTGCAAATGATCTTCATAAAAAAACTTTGAGCAATGTAAAAGTATATATAATTCTATAAACAAGTAAATATATGATTAACAATTTTAATTCAAAAAAATAAAAGTAAAAGTATAATATAACACAAACTATTGTTGTACAATCTTATAAATAGATATAAAACAAATGTAGTATAAAAATTTAATTATAAAAGAACAATTATTTTTTAATTATAATTTATTGAATATAAGATGAATAAATTTCTTGTTAAAAAAATTTAGATACTGTAATATAAACAAATTTTTAATAATATTTGATTTATTTGATTTTTAATTTTAAATAAATATAATATAAAAACAATTGATATCTATAATATAAAAAATAAGAAACTTTTTTTTATTATAATTTTATATTGTTTAATAAATAAATTAATATGAGTGAATACAAAATTAAAATCAAAAGAAAGAAAACATTAAGCAAGATATTGGATTTAAGTAAACAATAAGTACTTCAGACAATTACAAGAAAATAATCAATATCATGGATAGATAAATTCCTCAAATAGTTAGGAAGCAAAAGGATATTTCAAAAGAATTGACTTCTAATGAGAAGAGGTTTCTAGTAAAGATCTTTTGAAGGATATAAAGTACTTTTATTTTTTCATTTTCATTTTCATTTTCATATAACAAAATTATATATTTTTAGATATACACTTTTCTTTTATTTTCCCTTTTCTCTTTTTCCTTTTGTAATTTCTTGAAATCAGTTCCTTGAAAGATAATAAACAATAATAATTTGCTGGCAATAATATATAAATTAGAATAAGCTTTACTCAAAATCTACTATGGAATGAAATATTATTTTCAAGATCATACTTAGAGGCTGAAGCTTTTTTAAAAATTAAAAACTATTAATAAGTGTATTAGTATAGGTTTTAGTTTAACCATAATGCAATTGCATAATATATCTCTATTAATTTTTATATTGATTAATAAATATATAGTATTGGCCTGACTATAAGTTTTAAAAAAAAACAATTATATTAACAATTTTATAATATATTTGTATTTAAATACAATAAATAAATAAATTAAATAATAATAATAGAATAAATTAATAATATATTTATATTATTAAAAATTAATTAAAATATATTAAATATATTTATTTTTGATATTTAATTTTTTAAAAAATTATTTTATTAATTATAATTAAAAAAAATTAATAATAATATTTAATAAATTACTAAATAAATTTTTAAAAAAAAAGCTCTTTTTGCTGATTTTCTGATTACACATAAAAAAGATATTTACAAGAAGTGTTTATACTTGTTTACTAATAAAGTTTTACTACTTTCTTTAATCCAACTTTAAAAAAACTTTAAGAGTCATTAATCTCTTTACCTAATCTTTTGTTAATACTTTTTTTTTAATTAACAAAGTTTAATATATATCTTTCTTATATAGAATAAGAAAGTTCTAAAAGAAAAAAGAACCAATGTATTGTTATTTCACACTATAAAGAAACAACATAAAGTATCTGTTGTGATAAGAGAAAACTCTTTCACTTTCTTTTTATTTATTCACTTTAATAATACTTATTTCTGGATTTTTTTCTGAAGAATTTTATTTATTCTAGCTTGATCATGAATTTTAAGTAGTACAAAGTTTTTTATACTATAATTGAACAAATAAAACTTGCATTAATAAAGAAAGTAAACAAGCTTTTATTGATTATCTCACATGTCTGAATATATTTTTTTAGTTCCATAAGAACCTGGAACCTCCTATAAGTTACATGTATAATATAGTGTTAGTTTTAATTATTAATTATATTTTTCTTTGATTATTATCTATAGTTCTTGTCTATCATATTACTTTAGTTCTATTTTTAGATTATGTGACATATATGATGCAAGTTGTGTCACATTAGTTCCTAGGGTAGATCCAATTATTAGGGCAAAATAGTGATTTATGTAATGTACATTATTTAATTTCTTTATTCTATTATCATATCATATTTATATTTAATTAGCAGGTTACCTAAATAAGCATATCTGACATATTGACCTAATTTGGCAAATTTGGTAGATTTGGTCACTTTGGTTACTTTGGTTACTAAATAATTAATATTCAATTATGTATATAAAAGTCAACTATTCAAAACAATTAATCCAAGGTTTTACCTATTGAATTTTCATATCCTTGATATTATATATCTCTAATAAACCTTTTAATTAAACCAAATTATCCAAAGTCTCTTTCAACATATTTGTGTAACCTCTACTATCCTTGAATTACCAACTTTAGTATACCATAACTGAGGTATTCTTCCTTAACTTAAAGTGGATTACTGCTATAGTTGTCCCATCTATCTATCTGATTTGAAAGTTATTGAATAGGTTAACAAATTGGTGGTGACTGTAAGATTTACTATTTTATAAACTATTCTCTAGGAACAATCAAGAAACCTTGCTCAGTATTGAGGATATTTATTTGAAAAGTGATTCAGAAATTCAAAGTCTAGCAAAGGGTTTGAATTTTGTTATATAAATAGTTTAAAAAATCATTTTATTACTAATAGTATACATGATACTTTCCACAAAACAAATCCAAATATCAATATCAAACAAATTTATCCTTCTTATATTAACAACTCTTGATTAATTTACTGTCCACCTCAAGAACCTTTTTCTACTTTCAAAAACTTTTGAAATTGGTTCAAAGTTAAATTCATTGTTATTTCTTATACTTTTGTGATCTAATATTATTTCAATCAAATTCTATCTACTTCTACCTTTCATTTTGAATCCACTACCATCAAAAAATCAATTTTTACTATATGATATATACACATTTATTTCTTTGACAACATTTATTTAAAACTCTTATATGCTATTACACAATTTAATTTCTTTATTGTTGATTCCCTTGAACCATCTAATTTACCTATTGATTATATACCTTGGATAGCTCACTTTGCTCTAAACCTACACAAAACCACAATTATTACAAAAACCTTTTATTTTTCAATGAACTCTTACATCCTGAATCACTTTTTACTTCTTCTATTTCTACTTCCCATTTTTCTTTTATTTTATTTCCTATATCTATTTCTCTTAATAATATATATACCTATATAATAATAATAACACCCAAGGATATCTATAATTACTTTGAACAATATTCTTTGCTCTTACACTCCAATATACTATGAGTGGAATTCTTCTTTAGTGATGGAACCCAGGATCCTATAACTTGAATGACTTCCTTTAAAAAGGCCATGATGTTTAATCATTGGGAAAGCAAAAAACTCATTCGTATGCTCAATGCCCACTTTCAAGATGAAGCTAAGGAATGGTAGATAACATATTTTGAGAACAATAATAGTGATGCAGATATCATGAAATGAAAGGTCATTTCTGAGGAATTCAATAAACAATTTTGTATCCAACAATGAATTAATAAATAGCATGTGATCTTGAAAAACATAGGCAAGGACCAATTGAATCTGTGACCATTTATCATGGCACTTTCAAAAAACTTCTCAAAAGGGTCAATATTGAAGGTAATATAAGTCCTAATCAACAACTCCACT